AAATGAGGTCTCACTGTGTTGTCTAGGCTGGTTTCAAACTCCTGGGCTCCCGCCTCAGTCTCCCAAAATGCTGGGATTATAGGCATGAACCATACACAAAGACGAGGTTTCCCAATTTAAGGGGTTAGTATTTGTGAGATATGCCAAAGACATGGGTCAGTTAGTAGAAAGAGGCAAGGAACCCATGGTGTCCCTTGTTCTGGGCACAGTCATCAGAAATGGTGTTTATTGTGTGATCTTTGTCTTGAACTTGCTAACTGCACCTGTGGAGGCCCCAGCAGAAGCCAGAGAAGCCAGGGGTTCTCTTGTTCTGCCCTGAGAACGTCACTCCCACCCCTGAGGAATATCACTCTGTGTCTGTGTTTGCTGCAGCTCTTTTGACTCCCAGGTCCGTTCTCTCTTGCCTGGACAGTGGCAGTAGCCGCCTGGTGGGGGCCCCTGACAGGCTCAGTCCCCAGCCTGTCCTCCAGATTCTGGCATTCCCTGGTCCCTTAACAGGAGGCAAGCATCACGTTCCCGCCTCAAGCCCGTTCCACTCTGCAGCAGCTTCTGCTGGGGCCTTGTGGAACACCTGGCCATTTGGGCGTCAAGCTCTGCCCGGCCTCACCCCTAGACCTCGGCTTGTGCCTGGAATGCCTGCCTCTCTTTGCCATCAATATCTTACCCATCCTTAAAGTCGTGGCTCATGCGGTCCCCTCCATCTCAGAAAGGGAACCCAGGGCATCTTTAGGCCTTCTCTGGGCTGGACAGACCGTACTGGTCTAAGCTACTCTTGTGAGGGTCTGGGATAGGAGGCACGCGCTCCTTGGATGTGATGATGGTGGGGAGTCCAGGCAGAGGAAACAAAACAAAGGATCAGAACCCCCAATCCAAGGGAAGTGAGGTGAGCACCAGGCTCAGCAGACAGGAAGGGCCTTTAGCTGTCTGCTGAGCAGCTGGGACTACAGGCATGCTACCATGTCCTGACTAATTTTCTGATTTTTTTGTAGAGATGAGGTCTTGCTCTGTTGCCTAGGCTGGTCTCAAATCCCTGGGCTTGAGATATCCTCCCGCCTTGGCCTCCCAAAATGCTGGAATTATAGGCAAGAGATGACTTGGTCTGAGTTGATGTTTCACAAATGGGGAAACAGAGGCCTAGGGTCGAAAGACAGTGTCGTGTAGATGAGAGGGTCCTGGCCTGGGAGCCTGGCCTTGGAGTTGCCCCCTGCCCTGGACAAGTCTCCCTCCTTCCCTGGGGTTCCATTTGCTCACATATAAAATGTGGACAGTTGTACCCATTTTGTGAGCTTCAAAGGACTGTTGGGTGGCTTAAATGAGATTCCGGATGCTGAGGAGGCCTTGGAGACAATATAAGCCATGTCTCATGAGATACATTGGCTGAGCGTTCACGGTGTGCCAGTTTATTTGGTCTCTATAATAACCACATGGTCTATACAACAACCTACTAAATTCCCTTACTTTATGGGAGGAAATTGAGGCACAGAGAGGTTGAGTGACTTGCCGAAGGTCACAGAGCTAGGAACAGGCACCCAGGAATTGAACCCATTCAGTCTGGCTACAGAGCCCTTGCTCCTTGCCTGTGTGCCAGACTGACCATGGCCCATGGAGTCTGGTGGTAGCAGGTGAACCTGAACCTGGACAGTCTTCTGCTTCCTACCCAGCATGTGACCTGGTTAAGCCATGGCCTGACATGACAGGGCCTGAAAGGTGGCTTCTTTGATGACTGAGGACCTAAATTCTCTGTATCTCATGGGGTGAGGGCTCCCTGCACCCAGGCAGCTCCTATATGGTGCTTCAGGTCATTGGACACCATCCCGAGTCCCAACATGTGGCTGGACCATCCCCTAGGTCAGCCTCGCTCCCCAGAGACAGTCAAGTACCCCTTACCCAGAGCGCATCACTCTCACAGGGCATCTCGCATGACGGGCCCCGTGTTGGCGTGCCCACCCCTCCTCCACTCTTAGCACCGCAGATAGGAACTCCCTGGCAGGCTCACTTCTTCCACCAAGGGGCGGGATGGTGTGGTGGGCAGTGGAGTCGGAAAAAACAACTTGAATCCTACAGGTGCTCAATACCTCTGGCTATTGGTTCCTCTCCTGGAAGTAGTGGTATCCTCAGCTGAGGAAGCTCTTGGTTTACTTAGGAGTCTCATTCATTCATTCATGCATTCATTCATTCAACAAATAATTATCTGTGCCTTTCAGATGTCAGGCCTGTGTTAGAGGCTGGAATACAGGAAGTCCCCAACATACCGACGAGTTCCTTTCTGAGAGTACATTTGTGAGTCCAAATTGTTTTAAGTCCAACAGAGTTAGCTAGGTACCCAACTAACAAAATCAGCTATATAGTACTGTGTATATTTAACAGGCTATACTGACACCTGGTGGAGAGAAATAATACATTAAAAAAGCAGGTGTGCATTGTTAAAGTGCGTAACTTGAATGTTCGTATGTAGAGGACTTACCGTAGAGGCAAGAACAGGCATGGGACTTGCATCCTGGTAGAAGAGGCAAATAATTAATGAGATTTGAGCACCATAAACAAGACAGGTTGGACTGTGATACGTTCTGTGGAGGGAAATATGGCAGGAGCGAAGGATGGATGGAAGGAGCTTTCTTTTTAAATGCCGTGGTCAGGGAAGGCTTCCTAGGGAAGCTGTGTGTAAGTAAGCAAAGCCTAGAAGGAGGAGATGGAAGAGCCATGACGTCATTTGCAGATGATCTTTGTCTTACAGAGAGCCAGCTGGGCTACCAGGGATCCATCAAGCACCCACTGTCTGCTGTGAATGGGACATCACACTGGGGGTGGGGTGGCACACAGGTGCAGAGAGCAACCAGATGGACCTGCAGGGCCAGGTGCGCCCATGCGCAGGGGAAATCCGATGCTGTGGAATGATGTGGGAGACTGGGGACACCTGAGGAGGGGTAGCAGTGGGGATTCCCAGAGGAAGGGGTATCCAAGTACCTCTGTACTTGGTACTAGAGGGCCAGGGCCAGGGTTGAGGACGGTGAGCAGCACTGACTTAGGCACATTCTCTCAAGGAGTCAGAAGCTGTTTCTCGCTCTTTGCAGGCCTCCAGGGGCCAATGTCAATCTGGGGATGGATAATGTGCACACAATTAGCTAATTCCAGCTGAGTCTTGTACTGTGGGGGGGGGGGCTGGAATCAGAGGTGGCTTCCTGGAAGAGGTGGCCTTGGGGCTGGGTCTACCAGCAGAAGTCACGTTGCTAAACAGAGTGCCAAGATGGGATTTGCCAGAGGAACCCAGTGCCCTGGGCCCAGGCACAGCGCTGTCAAGAAGTGCCTCTGATGGGGCAGCTCCACGGGTGCCCGGAGCCTGGAGGGGAGGGCACAGTCCCCCTCCTCCAGGCTGCTCTGTCTCTCTGCTCCTCTGCCCTGCCCCTGAGGAGGAGGAGGAGGAGGCGCCGTGGTGCTGATGGATATGCCGAAGCTAGGCGGCTGCGGCCCAGCACTGTCACCATGCTCTCCCTCTGCACGCCAGAACCTGACACCCTGACCACTGAGGCATAAAAAACAGAGAATTGGAAGACTCAGCCTGTCAGGCTGGAAGTGGCCCCCAGAGAGGCCCGAGGAGTGCGCACATGTGTCTGCGCGCGCGCTCCCGGGCATGTGGACACGGTCTGCCTGTGGTTACCTGGGGGGGTGGGGAGGAGGCCAGCCAGGTCCAGGGTGGGAGCGACTGGCCCCTCGGTCCTGCCTCATGATTCCTGCCTACCTGGCAGAGCCCTCAGGCCCCGCAACAGGGCATGGGCCACAGGGGAAAAGAGGATCGCTCTTGGTCCTGAGTCCTGGCCAGTTCCTGCAGGAAGCTCTTGCCCTTGACTGTTGTAGGGTCCCTGGGGGGATCGTGGAGGCAAGCTTGGACCGTGGGGGTCTCATGGGACTGTGTAGCTCCTATCACCTCCTGCAGGGAAGGGCCTGCCTACTCTGTTCCCGGTGGCTTAAAAGCAGCCAGCTTTCCCGGTCCAGGGCCTCCGCTAAACACAATGTCTGCTAGGCACTGGGGACCCGGCGATGAGTCAGGGCCCAAGCCTACTTCCTGGGAGTCCCTGCCCATGGGGGAGACCAAGATAGCAAGATTGTGAGGGGCAGAACTGTGAACTCTCCTCCTGGTGACCTGGCCAGTAGCAAAGAGGCTCTGAGGCTGACAGCAAGAGCCAAGGAAGTGCGGAGGCAGGTGCCACCGCTCTGTGTGTGACTGGGCAGAGTGCACCATGCTCAGGCCCCAGCAGGCCCAGACCCAGTGCTGTTCCCTCCCTGGAACACCGTGCAATTCCTGCCTGAGCATACCCAGAGTTTCCCCTTCCCCAGTGCCCACGATGCCTCAACCTACTCCCTCGTCTGGACTTCCCCAGCCTTTTGGTCTGTCCCTTCATTTCAGCAAAGTTCCATCTGCCTCTTCCAGGCAGAGGGCCTGGGTGTATGTCTCATCTCTCCGATGGGACTGATGCCCCGGGAGGAGCCATCCCCAGATTCATAGCACAGAGGACTAGACAAGGGCTGGGGTGACCTTTGGCACCTCCATGCAGAGCCACTCAGGGAGCATATGGGGAGTGGATCTGGACCCACACTGGGGTCTTGGAGTGGCCTCAGCCAGGGATGAGAAAGAAGCGAGCAGGCTGTGGCTTTGGACTTGGTGAGGTGTATTAAGACCAGGTTGTGAGAGACCCTGTGCATCAGACTCCTCCCCTGTAAAACAGGCCAGGAGCACCTGGCACGTGGCACTTCCATGGCACGTATGTGAGTGGCTGGTATCCACTCCCACTGGTACAAAAGGTCTTCAGGGGAAACACAGACAATGCCAGTGACGGCTGTCCAGTCAGGATGTGGACCCAATTTGCATGTATTGGTTACAAAAAGTGCCCGCAGCTCATGCAGGAGGCAGATGCATGGGCAGCCAAGCTGGTTGGGACCCAGGGCCTTTTCTGAGCTGGATTTGACATTTGCTTCCTATTTCTCTCTCCACCCCCCACATGCAGGGAGTGAGTTTTCTGGGAGTCCCTACAGCCACCCTCAGTATTCCTCGTACAATGACTCGTGGAGGTTCCCCAACCCGGGGCTGCTTGGTGAGTACTGGTAGAGATCCTGTGGGGGTCCCTGAGCCATCGGCTACCTTGTCTAGGCCTCCTTATTGGGCGGGCCAGAGTCCCTTGACATCCTGAAGTCCAGTCACTGATGTGGGGATGGTGGCTTGCCTAGATACATGGAATGTGGTAGTTGTCATAGGGGCCTCGGGGCAGGAAGCAGTGCTCCAGCCTTGCTTATGCCCTTATCCTTCCCCTAGATGTTTTGGTGGCTTAGCAAAAATGGCACAGAAGGGGAACAGAGGGAAAAAAGGCACTGAGGGAAGAAGAAGGCAGGAAAAGTGCCTGCCCATGAGTAACTTGCATTTCCTAAGAATTATCAACTATTCAGGCAAAAACTCTCTAGGAGTAGGTAAAGATGCCAACTTGGTTTGATTGGTAGTGGCTGCCTGGAGAGCTGCCTTGATAAGGACCCTGCAGCCCAGTGATTGATTAGTGATGCCTGCATGGACATCACCAGAGCCAGCTCCATTGCTGAAGGCCTGCCAAGTTGTGTCATTCAGGGCTCAGCCAGTGCCTGCCCTCTGCCCAAGCTTCAGATTGGCAGACTGACTGTGGCTGGCTGGTGCCAGCCTGATGTGTGATCACCATCAAGATATTTGGGCCACCCTGAAGAAAGCCCTCAAAAGGCCAAGAGAGCCTTTGTTGTTGTTGGTGGTGGTGTTGGTATGAACTTATACGAAACTAGCTAATGAGTGCCAGCTGGAGTGAAAGATTTTGGAACATGAAGCAAAGGCCTAGGCTCACAGATGTCACTCATCCCTGTGGGGCACAGCCAGCCAATCAACCTGCAGGCAGCCACACTGACTCCCCTCCTCCCCCCACACACATACCCAGCAGTCAGCTCAGAATTTTCCGTTTGGAGCAGTAAAAGGTCAGACATGGAAGAACCCTCAGAGACCACCCAGGTTTGTCTGTCCAACTTAACAAGGCCTCCTTAAGGGAAAACCTGCTAATTCCCTGGATCCTTAATTATTTTAGGACTGAGAAACATGGGCTTCATCAGAAAAGCAATAACTTCAGACTCAAGTTGCCAGACCGTAGGTCTGTGAAGGCCATGAAGTCTCAGCCTTGACGCCTTCCCAAGCCTGGTTTGGTGATTAGGACAGTCACACAGTACGGACACCACTTGTCTCTTGCCACCTCCATTCCACGCACTTGGGGCCTTGAGCTGTCCAAAGCATGTTGGCGTGTCATGTATAACTTGTGGATAAATGAGGAGCAATGCCAATTAGTGCCCCAGGTCCCCATGCCCGGGAGATTTCAAGCCTTGCAGAAGAATACCAGGCTCTTTTTATCTGTGGTCTCCTGGAGGGGCAGAATCTGCAGATTGATCTCTTCTCAGACTTCCTTTTTGATTTTGGTTGAAATCGTTTCTAAGTATTGAACCCGGGTCTCCACTGACTTGAGTAGTGGAGATCTGGGAGTCTTAAGTAGACTTTCTGAGTTGACCTAGCTGTCTGTCTCAGGAAACAAGAGGCATGGGCTGGTGTGGTCTCCTTGAACCAGTGTCTTTCAGCAGGGATAGGGTAGGAAGATGGGAGCCTGGGAGTCCTTGCCTGGAAGTCTGCCTCACAGAGAGCCCTGGTCCAAGTGCTACTATGAGATCCACAGGGATATGGCACAAAGGAGACCTGGGGACCAGCCTGCGGGAGTGGGTCCTCCTGATGGGGGGGGTGACCCCAAGGAGACCATGTCAGCCCAGGCCTGCTACGCATAACTGCGCATTGCCCAAGGGGTCAAGGGAGGGCTGAAACCAGCCCATGCATGGCACAAAGCCCTGAGCCCCAGTACAGACCCACACCTGCTCAGAGACCCCTTTCTCTGATTTTTCACACGATGTCCTATAGGTCAGCAGTGGCCCTCATTTATTTGCCTGGGAATTCAAGAAACAGATAAATTGGAAAAAACTGCTCAGACAGATGTGACAAAGGGATGAGTTTAGACGTGAAGTGGTCTGTGGAGTATGCACAGGGTGGGAGGCCTTGAATGCCAGGATGAGGGCATTGTGATTGTGTGGGCAGTTAGCTGTCTGAGGGGGTAGGGAGGAAAGGATGGGCCTAGGCCACATCTGAGGCTTTTGCTGCTCAAGTTGGAGTGAAATCGGTTCACATCCCTGTTTGTTAGGCTTGGGCTGTGTGCCTGGAGAGATGCAGACTCTGTCCCAGGTGAGGGAGCCTCAGGTAAGGGTGTCTGTGCTGGGAGGTACTCAGTGCCTTTAGAGGGGCCAGAGATAGTGTGGAGAGGAGGAAGAGGAATCCAAACTCCAGCCATCTACATGAGCCCTTGCTGGTTGTACCAGGCACTGAACAAAACCCTTCACATGGGTCCTCTCATCTGATCCTTTGAGCAACAATTCAGAGTGCATATTATTATCTCTATTACATGGTAGAAGGAGAGTGAGGCAGAAATGTTGATTAGTTCACCTGAGGGCACACAGCATGCAGGTGGCAGAATGAGGACTTACATTCAGGTCACCCTGACACCAGAGCCTTTGTTCATAACCAGTATGTGACGTGGTGCTCTTACTCTCTGTGTCTGAGTCATAGTCTGAACAACACTACAGGAAAAGAGGCCTTATTTCTCTGCAGAACAGGCCTGTGTCCTGGGTGTGATGAGAGTGGCTGTGGTCTGTTTGTTTGTTTGTTTGTTTGTTTGTTTGTTTGTTTTTGAGGAGTCTCACTCTGTCTCTCAGGCTGCAGTGCAGTGGCATACTCATGGCCACCGCAGCTTTGACCTGCTGGGCTCAAGCGATCCTTCCACCCCAGCCTTCCAGGTAGCTGGAACTACAGGCAACGCGCCACCACGCCTGGCTAATTTTTAAAAATTTATTGTAGAGACAAGCGCTCACCAAATTGCCCAGGCTGGTCTCGAACCCGTGAGCTCAGGCAATCCTCTCGCCCCTATCTTCCAAAGTGCTGGGATTACAGGCGTGAGCCCCTGCACCCAGCAATGTGGTCTAGTTTTGAAAGTCAGGCTACTGTCTGCATCTGTCAGACTTTCCGTTGCAAACAACAGAATCCACTCTGGCTGGTTTAAGCAGAAAACAAATTTATTAAGGGATACCAGGGGCTCCCAGAAAATCCCGGAGGAACGAAAAGTGGGAGGCATGGGACACAGCCAAGAGCAGCACCCAGCCACCCCATTGGGGCTGCTCAGTGTGATCACTCCCACGGCTGCCAGCCAGCATCATCCTCCACCCCCTACTGTGGCTCCCTCTATCGGACAACTTTACTCAGGGTGCTTCGGACTGGGCATCAGCTCTGTCCTACCCCCACCCGGAGCAGGATGCCTCTGCCACCCGCTCCCAACAGACAGAGTCCTCCAGCCCACTTCTCCAGGTGCTTCCTTCTCAGTCAAGGTCACATGCAAGAGAGTCTAATTGGCAGAGTTCGTGTAACACACCTGTGCCCTAGCAGCAAGGGAAGCTGGCAGGGAGGAGTTCTCTCAACTAGCTTGAAGAGGTAGGCCTCATACCCCAGGAACTCAGCAAAACACAGCAAGAGCACGAGCACAGACAACATTGCAGCTACACACTTGAGAAATGGCCCCAGCACTGCCCGAGTCTTTGACCTGGAGAAGCCTAGTCAGGTCACCAACCAGTCTAGGCCTCAGCTGCCTCAGGTGTAAACTGAGCACAGTGGCCATGACAGCCTCATTCAAGCAGGAGCTGCCCACGGGGCTCTCCTGAGGCGCACAGCGGGGCTCCCCTTTCCTGAAGATGAGTGAGCCTCCTGGCTCCCCGCCCACAGCCTTGCAAATGGCTCCAGGCCTGTTCACGTCTACGCACCTGACCTTCCCCACAGTGTCTTCAGGGGTGGGTTGAGAGAATTCCCCAAACCTAGACGGATTATTTCTGCATCTGGGGATCTGGGGAGGGTGCCAAGGGCGTGGAAATCTGTCCTGAGTCCCCTCCGTGCTGCCACTAGATCAGTGGGCGCTGTGGGAACAGGTGAGACCCTGAGCATGCGAGTGCACGCACACACGTGCACACCCCACCTGCTCACACCTTCCTGTCCTCACTCCCACTCCCTCACACCCTCACGCACAGCCAATACCTCGGCTGGCCTGACTGGAGCCTCCTTCCCAGAACCACAGCCAAAGTGAGGATCAGCAATGCCACCGGGTGAAGCAAGAGGACTCCTTGCACATTGGCTCCTCAGAGGGATGTCCCCCTCAGTGCCCCAGCCAGGGCAGCCGTGACTCAGCGTCCCTTTGGGGCTCCAGGCTGGCAAGGGGGCAGTGGCAGGAAGAAAGGGCAGCCGCAGTCAATTAGGATTAGAATGGGAGCGCCTGTGGCCACTGTAAAGGGATTAGAGAGAAAGCTGAGCCCAGGATGACTGTGTCAAGCAGTAAATTGATGATAATGTGAATTAGAGAGGAAAAATGACAGAAGAAAGGACAAGTTTATTCTAGATGGAAGTCTAATGGGCACCAGGAAGACAGAGTGCTTTGTGAGGCGATGTTTTCATTTTTCACAGTAAATGCAAGCCGGCCAAGAGACTAGGCTTTGGGAGGGAAGTAAGACAGAGCCAGGGCCAGAAGTGGCCGGTTAGGGGGACTGGAGGGCCGATTCCAGGATCCTCCAGGGAGGAGACACCACTTCCATTTCCTATCCCTTGGGGCCCATTTGTGGAGACAGCCCCTGTGACCCTGTGATTTTCCTTTCTTGTGCCTCCCCCCCCACACACACACACTCTCCCCTGGGCCCACCTGCGGGCAAGATGAAGGCACTGTGGGCACTGCAGACTCCATGGGTGACTGTCCCCAATGCTGTCCCCATCCCACAAGAGAGAGAACAGAGGAAGGCTGATAGGGGTCTTTGAGTCAGGGCTCTGGTGGGGGCGGTGACAGAGGAAGCAGCAGAAAATCCATCTCTAGGAATACCTAGGCCTGGGGCTGGTATCCAAGCCCTCGGGACCAGCACGGTGAGGCATTGACTCCACCACTGTCATTGCTGCCTGAGGCCAAAGTGCCTTGGGAGCCGGTGGTAGGGAGACAGAGTCTTGAATCTGCTGATCCCGGCTGAGTTTGGAAGGGAGGTCGTGCATGCCAAAGAACCCTCCCCCAGCACACCCTCTTAATTACATATCAGCCATGTGACCTTGGACAGGTTACATAACCTCTCTCTGCCTAATTTGCCTCATCTGTAAAACGGGGACAATAATAATTTTTACCTGTTGTGGAAATTAAGAGTCAATGGATATAAAGAACTTAGAATAGTGACCATTTCCGCTGCTCTTTTCCATCTTTATCTCATCCGCCCTCACACTAGCCCCACTATGACTTTTTACAAATGAAAAAGGGAGCCTCAGGAGGGTGAAGTCACTTGTTCAAGGTCTCACAGCCAAGAAGTGGCAGAGTATGACTGACATTTTAGAGTCAATGGTTATAAAGAACTCAGGATAATGACCAAGGTCCAGGAGTCAGAGCAGGCTCCAGGACTCAGCCCCAGGCAGGCTGAGTGTCCCTAATCCAAAATGCTTGGGATCAGAAGTGTTTCAGATTTTTCCAGATTTTGAAACATTTGCATGATACAAGTTGAGCATCCCAAATCCTCAAATCTGAAATCCAGAATGCTCTAATGAGCATTTCCTTTGAGCATCATGTCGGTGCTCAAACAGTTTTGGATTTTGGAGCATTTCAGAATTTTGGATTTTTGGACTTGGGATGCTCAACCTGCATCTGGGAGAATTCCTAGGTTTGGTTTGGATCTGAGTGAGATTTCTGAATAAATATGAGTCCCTTCACCTGGGGAGCTAAGAAGTTTGCTAATCCTACCCCAGCAGACATGGGGGCTGCAACAGGCTGGCAGGGCCCCAGCTGCTGCCCACTTACATAAGCACATGCCCCCAGGGTGGAGTGGATAGGCCTTGAATGGCATTGTGATGGAAAGTCTTGAGCTGGGGGCAGACAACCTGAATCCCAGGCCAGGCGCTGGCACTGAGAGGCTCTGTGGCTTTGGGCCCTTCACTTTGGTTTGTTGAATCTCAGTTTCCCCACCTGTAAAAGGTGGAAATCAGCCTAGAGACCCAACCTCCGTTGGTTCTGAGAATCTGCTGGCCACCCTGGGTCCCCCCAGGTCCCTTCTGCAGAGCTTCCTCCTAACTCTGAACATTAGCCTGTGTCAGATCGGTGTTAGCCCCATTGTTTCTCAGCCCTGTACCCAACAGGGTCAGGAAATGAGCCCTGAATGAATGAGTGAATGAATGAATGGATGAATGGATGGTATGTGTTCTCACTTTGTTTACTCAGTGCTGTTGTCGATTTATGCCTCCAATCCAGCTGAGCACACACCATGTGCTGGCTGCAGGGAACTGGACAGACACTGAGAAGACGGAACCCAGCCTCTGCCCATGTGGGTCTGTCTGCCCAGGGTTGGGGGAAGTTCAGAAAGAAGCGATCATAGCTCAGGGCAGGGGCCATTCCAGAAGGGGTGCTGGGACTTGAAAGAGGTGGAGAAGTTTAACAGACAGGAAATGGGGTGGTGATATTTCAGGCCAGGAGTTCCAGGCAGAAGCATGAGAAAAAGGTACAGGGGTAAGAGAGTGTAATAGCAAAAGTTAACCGTGCCTACCTCAGAGATTTAAATGAGATAATACATGTACAGGACACAGTGACAGGCACAGAGGAACTACCCAGCCACCAGTAGTTGCTGTTAGCATTATGTATATTTAAGACAGCTGCAGAGAGTTGAGCCAGACTTGAGTGTGGCATGTGAGTGTGGGCGGAAGGGGGTTCCTTGTGGGAGATGGATCCCGAGAGCCCGGCTGGGGCTAGATCACAAAGCACCTGCAGGCCAAACAAACAAGTGAATGCTTTTCATCTTCCAGGTCAGGGGTTGGCAAATGATTTCTGGAAAGGGCCAGAAAGTAAACCTTGGAGGCTTTGCGGGCCATAGGGTCTCTGCTGCAACAACTCAACCCTGCCGTAGTAGCAGGGAAGCAGCCCCGGACAATACGTAAACCAACGGGCAAGGCTGTGTTCCAGTAAACCGTTATTCACTAAAACAGGCAGCCGGGAGGACTGGACCCGAGGGCCCCAGGCTGCTGACCCCAGCTCTAGGTGGCGAGGAGCCTTGAAGTCTTGTGAGCAGGTGGCGGCCCTGATGGGACTTGCAGTTTGGGGAACAGACCAGGACAGAGATCTTGGTGAGAGAGGACGGTGGCCTGGACTGGATGAGAGGGAGGAAGGAACAGAGGTGGGGGTAGGAAGAGGACCCCAGGTCCGACCTCAGTGCCCTCTCCCATCTCTTCCAGGCTCCCCCTACTATTACAGCGCCGCTGCTCGAGGAGCTGCCCCACCTGCAGCCGCCACTGCCTACGACCGTCACTGACCCTCGGAGCCAGGCAGGCACCAAGCACTGATGACACATATCATTGAGGGTGATAGCCTCCCAGCCCCTCCGAGGCGGCCAGAGGGGCCCACGAGACCATCCCCCAGCCCCCCCCCCCACTCGCCTGAAGCTCCTCTTTCCCCTCTTCCTGCTGGGACTCTGGGGTTCTGTGGTGGGGCTTTTGGACTTCTGGATGCTTGTCCATTTCTAAAAGCTAATTGATGAGCTTCTCCCCATGGCCGTTGGGTCTCTGCAAACCAACAGCCTGCTCTACAGACAGCTGTAGCCCCAGCCCAGCCTGCCAGTCCCCCAGCTATCTGACCATCCGTCTGTCCAACCACCCCAGGCCCGGGAAGGAGATCTCGCTTTTGTTGCTTCAGCAGCGCCCATGTAAATACCTTCTTGTTTTTCTGTGGGCCTGAAGGTCGAACTAAGAAGACTGCCCAACTCTTCACGCATCCTGCACCCAAGGTGCATCGCGGGAAATCTCAGACTTGTGTGCAGAACGTCTGCCCTAGGTATTTCCTGGCAGGTGGGCTCGGAGCTGTCCTGGAGACTGAGCCTGTCCAGCTTGAAGCTCCAGCCTCCTGCTCTTCTCTGCTTCTTGGATATCTAGACCAAGAGTCTCATCGGGCTGGTTGCGTTGCAAGCCTCCTCCCCCATGCTCCCGAGGTCCCTTCCTGAGAAGGCACACTCTAGGGAGACGCCCTGGCTTCCTGCCTCTGTTTCCTTGGGGCTAATGCAGTGTGAGCAGCTCTTTTCCAGATCAAAAAACTCAAAGAGAACTGTCTGGGAGATTCCTCAGTGACTGTTCTTGAACAAGATGTCATCCAAGATGTCAGTTGCATTGTGGATTTGGAACAAGGGGGCTGGAGGAGAGGCAGGAGATCACCTGATCCAAGCCAGGGAAGGGGTCCGAGCCTCCCCCTCCTCTCTCACCCCCCGAACTGTGCATCTTCTGAGACACGCCCAGACGTCTCTTTGGACACTCACCATGGACACACACATCCTCCAGGACCCCAGTGAGCAGATTCTGGGCAAGCTTGTTCCCGCAGTGTAGACAATGATGAGCAAAAGGGACTCTTCCCCGCACACAGGACCGTGAACAGCCTCCAGAGGTCAGCCAGAACGTCTGCTATCCTCTGGGGCAGCCCGTCTCTGTCCCTGTGGAGCTTAGCGTGCGGCTGGGTGCGGAGGTGCGGGGGGAAGGGGCGGATGCCTGCTTTCACACAGTGCATGCCATCTGTGGATTCAAGGGGCTGTTATAGTCAGGGCCACAGCCAAGGGCCACGGGAGCTTGGAGATGGAGCTTAGAGAACTCACTGTGGGCCAGGGTGGTCAGGGGAAGCCAGCTGGGAAGATTTGGAAGATAGAGGAAGGCCTTCTGGGAGAGGGGCAGAAAAGCGGTGAGGACTGGCGTGTGACCTGGGAGTAGTTTTGAGATGGGAGTGCTAGGCACCACCATCCCTTTGCCTGGGGCCTCCTGCCAACTCAAAACCGCCCCTGTCCACACATGGGCTGAATTACAGTGATGACAGTGGGCTTGGTCTTCTCACGGACAGCACCCCCAATGTCTGCACATCACCAAGATGGCAGAGAGCTGGGGCAGAAAGAGCCTAGACTCGAGGTCATCGGGCCAGGCAGATCTTGTTCTGACCATACCTCTGCTCTGCTGTGGGACCTCAGACAGGACCCCTCACCTCTCCAAGCCTCAGCTGCCTTAGTAAGGTCACCGGACAGTTCTTCCTCTCCTCCCTCCCACAGGGCGCTGGGCTGTGACAGGGCTGCCTGGGGCAGGGCCTCTACTTCTGAGCAAGTGTATGGGGGTGGGCACCTGTGTCCCACTAATATTTGGACCAAGTGGGAAACAAGATCACCCAGAGGGGCAGGAAACCTAGGGACCACACAGAGAGGCAGAGCAGACCTCCTCTGATCACCGCTAAGTGTTTTGTCCCCCCAGACTCCCACAAAGTGGTGGGACAGAAGAGGGAACTGAGGCTCAGCAAGGTAGAGACCCCAAGCAGTAACTAGCAGAGGTGGGGCTGGGCCTCAGTCCCCAGACCCCCAACACCTGGTGACCCCGGTCACCTTCCCTCTATCCACATGCTACCCCTGGGGAGAGAAGTTGACAGCAAGAGCAGCAGGAGAGGGTTCTGTATCTGATGGCCAGACTGAGTGTCTGGGCCTGTAAGAACTGCAGAGGGAGCCCAGTCACCCAGGCCAGAGATGCAGCCCAGCAAGCTCGCGGCAGGCACACCCACCCCTGAACCTGCTGGGCAAAGAAGGGAGGCAGCTGGGGCCAGACTCCACCTCCAGGAGGCTGGGTGAGCTGGCTCCAGTCTCTGCTGCCAGGTAAGGTAAGAGAAGGTATATTCCCTGACTCCACCCTCCTTTTAGCAGGAAGTGAGGGGGCAGGGTCTCCAGCACAAGCCTCTTGGGCTCTGCCCCCTGCCTCCCTCTCTGGGAATGATGTGCACCCACGTCTTTGGGTCCTGGCCCCTGCTTGTGGTTCCAGGCTGCTGGGAGGAGGTCTGCCTCCCCAAAGCCCACTCAGCCCCCTCTCCCCACCCCATTCCTCTTCTTGCCCCCGTCATGAGCTCCCCCCATGCCTTTCCTCTCTCACCTGAGGCTTTGCTGGTCCTCAGCTTGGATTTGTAGTTAGTAGCCAACCACTCGATTCCTGGGCTGCCCGGCAGAAGCACAAGAGCACACAGATGCACACGGATGTTCTCATATACGCGCCTGCTCTCACCAATGCAGAGCCCCGCGCGGTCCGGGAGAGCTGCCCGGGGCTTGGTGAAGAGGGCTCCGAAGGACACAGGTCTTTGAGTAGATGCCAGAGAATATGGAATGGAAAACACAAGTCCAGGGCTTCACCAGCATCGTGGCAGAAGGCCTGGGGCGTTTTTCCACGGGCCTTCAGCCCTGCATTCCAACTCTGACTTTTGGTAAAGGACATTGTGGAGTTTATGAAAGATTTTCATACCATTAGTCTAGCTTCAACCTGGAAAGATTCGACAACATATCAAACCCAACACCCTTTTCCAAGGCGCCTTAGTTAGGGCTAGCCCTTTCATAACTGACGCTGTATGGTGCTTTGCAATCCTCCACCATGAGTGGGGCAAAGATTATGATGCTTATTTTACATGGGGAAATGGACATTTGGGGCTCACATGGCAAGATAGAGGTGAAGTAAATTCTCAGATCTCCAGGCCCCATTCTTTCCTCACAGAGTTGTGCTCCTGTCACAGAGAATATGACTTAGAGATATCCCTCCTCAGTCCCATATAACTCCCCCAGACCCACAGTAAGGAAAGAGCAGGGACCTGGAAGCTGGCCTGACCCAAGGTCCTGGGGGTTGGTGACTATGCCGGGCCTGCTTGTTTCTCATTAACATTGAAATCTGCAGAATCTTTGCCCAAATCCACACCAGTGCTTCTGAGGTTTTTTTTGTTTGGTTTTGTTTTTGGAGTTGGAGTCTCACTCTGTCACCCAGACTGGAGTGCCGTGGCCGCTCCCGGCCACCGCAGCCTCGACCTGCTGGGCTCC